ACACGTATACAGTCACATGGAAAACACAACTGGGAAGTTGTATTGCAGAGATGCTGAGGTCATTTGGAGGAAATACTTACATTTGGTATAGTGCCGTTCAGGTCACTGTGAAATGCAGTGACTGTGTTTTGTGGCCAAACAGCCAACTGGGAGGGAGTAGGAGAGAGAGTAAGGAGATAGTGGAGACTCGTGTGGAGTATAATGATAATAATAATAATAATTCTTGCATTGATGTAGCACCTTATTACGTTTTCAAGACATCTCAAAGTACTTCACAGAATATACTGTAAAGTGAATTGACTGTATATTTGTGGGCAAAACACGGCAGCCAATTGTACACAGCAGTGTCCCACAATCAGTTGCGGACTGAAATGACCAATTAATTTTTTTTAAAAAGGAATTATTACCCCCGGAAAAGCAATCCACCAATTGACTAACAACCGGGTTCTTATTTACTGCTAGGTAACCAGAGGCGTGTGGAGTAAGGAAATTTGCTCAACATTTCACCCTGCCAGGAATCGAATCCAGGTCTCTCGCTTGCAAGGCGAATGCTCTAACCATTGAGCTATAGGACTCCACTAGTTGGCCCGAATGGCCTGTTTCCATGCTTACAATCTATGTGAATCAATTGAGGGCTATCCCTCAATACTGTAGCAATGGTAAGAGTCTAATACCCTCCCAGATTAGTAAATATGAGTAATAGTTACACAGAGCAAGGCACGTTTTATGTCCATTTTCAAACTCTTCCACTACAATTATGATCTTACTAAGAATAATGATTAATCAGCCTTACGTCACAATCCCACTGCTTTAGGTTAACCCTATTTGTTCTGGAGTCCTGTAGCTCAGTGGTTAGAGCACTCGCTTTGCAAGTGAGAGACCTGAGTTCAATTCCAGGCAGAGGGCGAAACCTTCGGCAAGTTTCCTTACTCCACACAGAGCCTAATAATAATCCCTCCAAAACCAAACACAATAATAAATTGGTCATTTTCAATCTACGACTGTGTGTGGGACATTGCTGTGCGCAATTGGCTGCCGCGTTCGCCCACAAATATACAGTCAATTCACTTTACAGTGTGTTCTGTGAAGTGCTTTGGGACGTCCTCCCGACGTGAAAAGCACTATATCAAATGCAAGGATTATTATTATTATTAGTTATACAGTATAGCCAAATTCAACTGGTTCACAAACCAATTCAAAAGGAGTTACTGCATTTCCCTCATTTTTCTCACTTCACCTCAAAATAAGCAATGTAATTAATCTCATTCAAATCTATTACAACATTTCTCTGTCACCCTTCCAGTAGTATTTTCCAAACCTCTTTAAGATGCACATAGCTTAACCTTTCCTCAACTAAATCAATAAAATTAAAAACCTGGATTAAAACAAAGTGTGCAACTCTGCACTGGTACCTGTTCGGGCTAGCAAGAGGAGTTTTCTTAAGTCTAAAATGAAAGGTTACTAAACCTCTTATTAAAACTGTCACAGATAGCATGTGGCTTCATTAGCTGTCCTTACTGGCTTTATAATGGCAATAAATTCCTCACATCCTCCAAACTAAATCAATTGTGAGATGGACTGGTTGAATATTCACATCTGGGCAGTACAGGACTATATAAGTAAGGAAAGGGTGTCTGCATTTCTTTCTTCTTTCTAGAAGCATGTACAAACTGGAGAGGATCCCATAAATGCCTCTGGTGATCGTCACCTCCCACTGCTTATTCAAATTGGAGTAACACAATACTGTAATAAAGCCAAGCTGCTGAAGAATAGAGGACAATATAAAAAGAAACTCTAGCTTCTTGTATTGAAGCACTTTTCATGCTGACTAACCCACACTCTTCTAATTTTAAACAGGACAACATGGAGGCTCAGTAGAGAATTCCAAGAGGAAAAAACAAAGTTGTGAACAATTAATGGGTGCAGGGGAAAAATAGGGGCAAACAATAATTACCATGGAAACTTTTAGGCCACTTTTCAATTACTTGCAGGGTGTTCTCTTTTCCACTGGCAAAGAGAAGCACAGATTAAAAAGAAAATGTAAAAGTGCAATTTTATTTGCTACTCTTGTTTGTAAAGTCAAGGCATAAGTAAAGAAAGGACAGGTGCACAAAGTAGAATTCACTTCTATGAAGAAAAAAACCGTCTTCACCAAAGTGTCATTACAACCAGATTACAAAAAGCATTTTGTATCGGTTTAAGAAAGCTCTTAAATCATTGGTATACTATCAGGGCAAGTCATATAGTGGCCTCAAAAACCTTTGATATGCATCAAGGAAACAATTGTCAATATTAAATGTCTTCTTCCTACTCATAATTGTACCGAACGAATTAAGTGTGTCTTTGGTTATATTATTGATTTTTTTAGAGTTTTTTTTTTTGAAAAACACATTCTCAGAATTGCTAAGGTAAATGTAATAGAAGTATAACGTAAATTTCTTTAACCCTCTGGGAGCTGGGCACATTGAAAAAGGTCAGTTCTTCCAAGTAAACATCTTATTTATAGAGAATATAAATAGCACTTTGGGACGTCTTCCCGACGTGGAAGGTGCTATACAAATGTAATTTTGTATTTTGTAGGATTGTGTTTTATACATTCATTTGGTGGCCTGCATCGGAAGCAAAGGTGCTTCCCAGGATCACAACAAGGAGATATACAAAGGGGGGGAAAAAGGAGGGGACCGCAGTTGTTTTAAGTGGAGCCCACCGACTCCAAGCCTAACAGCACAAGACCCCCACACACATACAACCCAAAACAGCAGTACCCCACGCACACAGACATCCAAACCTACTGCGCGCATGTGTGCACACACACACACACAGATGCCTCATGCAAATGGCACACATACACACACCCCTCAAGCCAATGGCAGGCACACACATACACACCCACACCCCAAGCCAATGGTATACACACACACACACACACCCCAAGCCAACAGCAAGCACACACCCCAGGCCAACGGTGCACGCGCACACAGCCCCCCCAAGCCAACGGCGCACACGCACACACACACCCAAACCAACAGCGCACACGCTCACACCCCCCCCAAGCCGACGGCGCACGCGCACACCCCTCCCAAGCCAACAGCGCATGCGCCCCCCCCCCCCCCAGCCAACGGCGCACGCGTGCACGTACACACACACCCCAAGCCAACAGCACCCACACACCCCCTAAACCAACAGCACCCACACACACAGCCACCTCAAGCCAACAGCATCCCCACACACACATATCCCACAGCCAACAGCACCCACACACACACACACCCCAAGCCAACAGCACACACACCCACCCCAAGCCAACAGCACCCACACCCACCCCAAGCCAACAGCACCCACACCCACCCCAAGCCAACAGCACCCACACCCACCCCAAGCCAACAGCACCCACACCCACCCCAAGCCAACAGCACCCACACCCACCCCAAGCCAACAGCACCCACACCCACCCCAAGCCAACAGCACCCACACCCACCCCAAGCCAACAGCACCCACACCACACCCCAAGCCAACAGCACCCACACCCACCCCAAGCCAACAGCACCCACACCCACCCCAAGCCAACAGCACCCACACCCAACCCAAGCCAACAGCACCCACACCCACCCCAAGCCAACAGCACCCACCACACCACCCCAAGCCAACAGCACCCACACCCACCCCAAGCCAACAGCACCCACACCCACCCCAAGCCAACAGCACCCACACACACACCCCAAGCCAACAGCACACACACACACCCCAAGCCAACAGCACCCACACCCACCCCAAGCCAACAGCACCCACACACACCCCAAGCCAACAGCACCCACACACACCCCAAGCCAACAGCACCCACACACACCCCAAGCCAACAGCACCCACACACACACCCCAAGCCAACAGCACCCACACACACACCCCCAAGCCAACAGCACCCACACACCACACCCCAAGCCAACAGCACCCACACACCACCCCAACCAACAGCACCCACACACCCACCCAAGCCAACAGCACACACACACACACCCCAAGCCAACAGCACCCACACACCCACCTCAAGCCAACAGCACCAACACACACACACAAATCCCACAGCCAACAGCACCCACACACACCCCAAGCCAACAGCACCACACACCCCCCAAACCAACAGCACCCACACACACACCCCAAACCAACAGCACCCACACACACACACCCCAAACCAACAGCACCCACACACACACACACCCCAAACCAACAGCACCCACACACACACACCCCCCAAACCAACAGCACCCGCACACACACCCCCCAAACCAACAGCACCCACACACCCCCCAAACCAACAGCACCCACACACCCCCCCAAACCAACAGCACCCACACACACACACCCCAAACCAACAGCACCCACACACACACCCCAAACCAACAGCACCCACACACACACCCCCCAAACCAACAGCACCCACACACACACCCCCAAACCAACAGCACCCACACACACACACACCCCAAAGTCAGGGTCACCCACACAGTCTCATTTCTTCAACAACAAAGCTCCAGATAAAGCCTCCACTCCCCCCACTCCCCCCCCCCACCCTCCCCTCCCCTCCCCCACCCCCACCCCCCGGGCAGCTCTGAAAGTCTCCCCCGGGCCGGGAAACAGCAGCTCCGGGTGAGAGAAGCCGTTAGCCCGCGGGGCGGGTGTCCCAGTGACAGGGCCCGAATAGCCTTCACACACACACACACACACACACGGGGGGGGGGGGAGCGGGAGCCGAGGCTGTGTTAGGCCCCGAGAAGGAAAAGCCAAGTCAGTCACCGCCATCCCCTCAGCGTTGGAGCCGGAGGCCGGACAGCACCTCACCCTCTCCCCGGGGCCGGGGCCGGGCCCGGGGCTCTGTGCCGACCGGTCCTCACTGCCCTCCTCTCGGGCCCGGGGGTGAACTTGAGCCGAGTCCATGGCGCACCCCCTCCCCTCCTCTCCCCTCCCCTCCTCCCCCCCGGGAATCCCGCTCAGTCTCTCACCTCGGGATGGCGGTTCCGGCCGCTCGGGCTCTCAGGGCGCGGGGCAGCGGGGCCGAGGCCGAGGCCCCGTCATGTTCCTCTTCTCTGGCCGAGCTGTTGATGTCACCTCTGCCGCCGTCACTCACCACAGCTCCGCCCCGCCCTCCCCTCCTCCTCTCCCTCTCTCCTCCTCCCCTCCTCCTGCTCTCCCCTCCTCCCTCCTTCCCCTCCTCCTGCTCGCCCTCCCTCCTCCTCTCCCCTCCTCCTGCTCTCCCCTCCTTCTCTCTCTCCCTCCTCCTGTTCTCCCTCCTCTCCCCTCCTCCTGCTCTCCCCTCCTCTCCCCTCCTCCTGCTCTCCCCTCCTTCTCTCTCTCCCTCCTCCTGTTCTCCCCTCCTCTCCCCTCCTCCTGCTCTCCCCTCCTCTCCCCTCCTCCTGCTCTCCCCTCCTTCTCTCTCTCCCTCCTCCTGTTCTCCCCTCCTTCTCTCTCTTCCTCCTCTCCCCTCCTCCTGCTCTCCCCTTCTCCTGCTCTCCCTCCCTTCTCTCTCTCTCCTGCTCTCCCCTCCTCCTGCTCTCCCCTTCTCCTGCTCTCCCTCCCTTCTCTCTCTCCCTCCTCCTGCTCTCCCCTCCTCTCTCTCCCTCCTCCTGTTCTCCCCTCCTTCTCTCTCTTCCTCCTCTCCTCTCCTCCTGCTCTCCCCTTCTCCTGCTCTCCCTCCCTTCTCTCTCTCCCTCCTCCTGCTCTCCCCTCCTCCTGCTCTCCCCTCCTTCTCTCTCTCCCTCCTCCTCCTCTCCCCTCCTTCTCTCTCTTCCTCCTCTCCCCTCCTCCTTCTCTCTCCTCCTCCTCCTCTCTCCTCCTTCTCTCTCTTCCTCCTCCTCCTCTCTCTTCCTCCTCTCCCTTCCTCCTCCTCTCCCTTCCTCCTCCTCTCCCTTCCTCCTGCTCTCCCTTCTCTCCCTTCTTCCTCCTCTCCTTCTCCTCTCCCTTCCTCCTCCTCCTCTCCTCCTCCTGATGCTCTCCCCTCCTCCTCTCCTTCTGCTCTCCCCTTTTCCTGCTCTCCCTTCCTCCTCTCCCCCTCCTCCTCTCTCCCCTCTCCTCCCCCTCCTCTCACCCTTCCTCCTCCCCCCCTCCTCTCACCCTTCCTCCTCCCCTTCTCTCTCTCCCCCACTTTCCTCTCCCCCTCTCGCTTTCTCTCCCCTCTTCCTACCTCCCTCCCTGTCTCTCTCTCTCCCCTCCTCTCTCTCTTTTCCCTTCTCCCAATCTCTCTCTAATACCCGCCCTGTTGCTACCCCCTGCCCCTCTCTCCCTCCCATTCCTCCCCCTCTCCCTCCCATTCCTCCCCCTCTCCCTCCCATTCCTCCCCCTCTCCCTCCCATTCCTCCCCTCCCTCATTCCTCCCCCTCTCCCTCCCATTCCTCCCCCTCTCCCTCCCATTCCTCCTCCTCTCCCCAAAAGTTGTGGCTGTGCACCACTTTGGGATTTCAGTTATCAGATTCAATGCAAAAAAAACAGTAAATTCTTATTATCAGTGCACTGAGGGGTTGCAAAGAACATGTCTGGTATTGCGTTTACTGTTTTTTTGTTAAGTTTTGTTAATATGTGGTTAAGAGGAACTAAGAGAAGTGAACCATTAACCATCGTCAACCAGATAAAATTGTTCATTCATTTCACAGCTGTCTGTGGGACACGGCTTACCCAAGTTCCCTGCTGCGCTCGCCCCAAATACAGTCACTACACGTCACAGTAATAATTATAATCCTTACATTCGACACAGCACCTTATCACGTCTTTGAAACGTCTCAAAGCTCTTCACAGATATACTGTAACGTGTTGTGACTGTGTGTTTTGTGGGTGAAACGCAGCAGCCAGTTGCGCACAGATCCATGTGCAGGAAGGACCTTGAGATGTCCTCCTGACATGAAGGTGCTATATTAAATGCAAGGATTATTATTAATGGTGTTTTTATTAGTAGTGTTGGTGCTTTGAGCTTTTTGTGGGATTCCTAATGTTGCCCTTCACCTTGGCCCTGGGCAAATCTGCTGCATCTTGTGCTCTGAACCTCTCTTCCCAGCCTATCTAGCTGAGCGAGGGATGTTAGCTGAACTGCAATTTGTATTATTTTCGGTCCTTTTATTCTGGACTCTCCAAAGCAAACCGAAATGGCATTGTTAAAGTAGAACTATTTAATAGTAGTCTCATTTGGTCCTATGTTTTATTTCTCTCCAAGTATCTGGTCTCCACTTGATAATTGCCTCCAGTGGCATGCTTGAAATCATTTGGTGGGATGTTGCTGTTTTTGCATTCTGCCACTTATTATTACTAATAATAACAATCTTTGCGTTCCATACAGCACCTTATCACATTATTGAGACGTGCCTCACAGGAGGTACTGTAAAGCGATCTGACTGTATTTTTGGACGAACTTCAGTCTAGGTGATGTACATCATACTGTTTTATGTTGAACTCAAAGCTTTTTGATAGCTCAAACATCAAATGTCAACATTCCCTCAACTAATTTTGTCTGAGTGCAAAATATAATAAAGGTGCAGTGAACCGAGGAACAATTGACAAACTTAACATAGTGACAGATGTAAGCAACAGTCCAGCATTGATACAGGGAGCCTACCCATCCAACTTCCAAACAGACAAACAGAGGACAGGATATTCTCTGGGGAAATTGCATAATGGATTCACCACCACTAAAAAAAAACTGCTCCCACTAACTGCCTTTTTCTTCCTGGTTATAATTAACAATTTACCTGGAAGGTGTGTGCACGGGGCTATAGGGTTAGCAGTGGACCACGTACACAATGCTGGCTCCCTATGTATGAATAGCCTATATCTGAATAACTTCCAGAGGTTAGGAGCAAAATAGAAGATAGTTGGTCTGCCAATGGTAATGTGGTAGATTGTGCAGGAGGCACAAAGCACACAGGGGCTGGATGAGCAGAGGGAATGAGCAGAATGGGCACGATTCCCAGTGTTAAAATTGTATGAAATTAATTCTCTTCTTTGAGGTGTTGAAGTCAGTTGTTGCCAGGCAAACAAAATAGACAGTGACTGCTGCCATAGTGTGAATCGAAACAAAATTCTTCAGTTCAGCAAGGACAAGAAATTTGCTGCAAACATTAGATTCACTACTGTGTCTAATCTGAAGGTATCACAAGCATTTTAGATGAAATCGTTACCAAAGGTGTTCAAGTGAATTATTCCCTTTTCCACCATTTATTGCAATGTTTGTAATACCAGGAATATACACAATTGTATGTGGTCTGTACCAGGATCGTTTTTATTGGGCCAACTACAGTGTTTTTTTATTTTGCACTTTCTTAGTTTGATTCCTGTTGTATGCCTAACCTCACATCATGATTTTTAACATGTGCCTAATCTAAAATGGAAATTTTCCAAGCTACTCAAAAGCAGTAAAGACCCACCAAAAGGCACCAAATATCTCCAGCTTCTTTTAGCAATCAGCAATTTAAAAAATGAGGCCAGTTAAAAATAAATGTGAGGCTAGTTATCAATCTTAAGTAATAATAACATTAATTCTTGCATTTATTTAGCACCTTATCACGTCTTCTAGATGTCCCAAAACGCTTTGCAGAATATACTGTAAAGTAAATTGACTATATTTTTGGGGGTGAAATGCGGCAGGAAATTGCATACAGCAATGTCCCACACACAGTCGTGGATTAAGTGACCAAATTATTATTGTTATTATTTTTTGAAGGGATTATTTCCCCCGGAAAAGCTATCCGGCAATTGACTAACAACCTGGTTCCTACTTAATGCTAGGTAAACAGAGGTGTGTGGAGTAAGGAAATTTGACCAACATTTCGCCCTGTCGGGAATCAAACCCAAATCCTCTCACTAGCGAGGCGAGTGCTCTGACCACTAAGCTACAGGATTCCACAAAGAAATGCATGATGAATTAGGTAAAGCTGGAAAGACCGACAAACTGGACATTAGAGGGTGGAGGCAGAAAGATAGCTAGTGTCACCTGAATTCATGTGGAATTGGACCCCGTGCACCCTTAATTAGACTTGGTAAATGCAATGAATTAGTGATTTCTGCTCATGTGTTGAGGTAGAAACAATCAAAATTTGTCAAGAACCATCTGTTTTTGTGAGAAAAACACAGAGAAAAGTATAGAAGACAAGTCCATTGTGTGTTGTGATTTCATCTGGAATTTGTCTGCCTTGTCAGTGTGGGAAGACTCCTGGTTAGCGAGTCAACAAAAGCTTGTGTCCTTGAAAGAGGACTAGACAAATGTACAACAAATATTAATTTAATGGAAAGATATGAGGATGGGCTTAATGATGATTTATATTTCAAATATCCAGCTGTACGGACTAGAATAATGGCTTATAGAAATTTGTTTCACTTTATAACAAAGAAGAATCTCAATTAGAAACAAATCATGTACTTCAGAGACTGGGCAATTGGGTAAGTGATTGGGGTGGAGGGAAGCATTAAGGAAAAATCCTCCTCCTCAGCTTCCCCATAAGCTTGAGCTTCCAGCAACTGTATGAAGCTCTTTAGACGTCCTTGTGATGTGAAAGGCACTATATAACTGTAAATTATTGTGCTCAGCAGGGCAAAGAGATTGAGCTGTGAATTAATATCCTGCACTATTCTATCTTTGGACAGTTGATAAACTCCTGATGCTGTGGAACTCACAAGGGTTAGTATGACGTACTTCCCATTACTAAAAGAATTACTCCACAAATTTGCACCACTTGGATTCATTCCTATTAAGAAATACTGTGAGTTGGACCTCAATATATATCCTTAAAGTGGGTCAGTTATTTAACTTTCCAGTAAGAAAAGAATCCAGCTCCCCCTCTAGGGATCTGTTAATTTTCTGCTGGGTTTTCTCATAAGGTAATTTGATCTTCCACGTTTCATTGAGGAGTCACACCACAGCTTTCATTTACATGAAGCAAATTCTATAAAATTTTCATCAAAAATGCTTGGATGGTTCCCACAAAAAGCAATGGGGAAACCTCAGGATTTTGGTTGTTTCACAGAAACTTCTGCAAACATTGTCTCCTGCCTGAGGTATGAGTGACACAATCAATCTCCCAGACATACAGAGGCACTGATAGTGTTAAAGAGCATAAATAATTCAGTAAAGGAAAATTTAAGCATGATCCAAAAAAAACAATGTTGCAACTGAGCACTCACAGAATAGTGTCCTTGTAA